CCCTCCTCCCCATCTCCGCCACTCTCTATTTGAATATATCCCCCAGAAAGAGTTAAGCCTTCTTTGGGCTTCCCCTTCCTGACCAGCAGTGCCAGTGGAGATTAAAGAGATCAGATTTATTTCTCTTAATAAAGAGAAAAGAAGTAGAGCCAGGCAAGTGACACGGAAACAATTGGAATAATAGGAGGTTGGAGCAAAAGGGAGCAGTACTTCCTCCAGTCATACCTGAGGCCACCCCCAGACCTGTGGAAACAACAGCCAGGGGCAGAAGAGGTGTTTTCTGCACGTGGGCTGAAATCAGGCTGACCTACTGCCCAGAAAGCCCAGTGCTACCTGATAGCAAAATATAAAGCAAGGGGAGGCCTGGCCACTGACCCAATGACCTCTAATCCAAGCTGTTGGAGCAGGGGCCTATAAATCAGCTTTTCCATCCTCTGCCTGCCTCCAGGCTGGTCTCCCAGGGGAAAAACGTCCACTGCCATGAGGTACACCACTAGCCTCCTATCTCCAATCTTGACAATCTGACCACAATCCATCCTGCTGCAATTCTGACCCATGCCCTCTTGAGTGAGATAGGGAAACTTCAAACTGAATCCCAGTGGCGCAAGCCTGGGACAGACCCTGGAAACAGCCCTCACCCAAACCCTCCCTCGAGGCCTAGCCCAGCCACCCCAGCACCCTACTTCTGTTTGTGGCTGAGCTGCAGGGGAGCAGGGCCCTTATCCAAAAGGAAGATGAGGCCGGATGCAATCACACAAGAGGCTTTTCACCCTCTTCCTGATCCCTAAAGTGTTCCTTTAATTCGCCTCCAGAGAAGGTGGTTAAAGGACACTGGGAAGGTAAACACAGGCAGAATGGGATGGGCCGCACACACCGCCATTTCCTCATTTCAAGCATGGCAGCAGGAGCATAGTAAAGGTGGACTTCTGAGCATGGCAAGCCCCAAGGGAGCCCCACCCTCTTGCAGAGACTCATAACCTCCCCTTCAAACGGAAGACAAAAACAGAGTGGGAAATGAGGGAAGAACCAAGCAAGTGGCCAAAAGAAAAGTAACCCCAGCACATATGGATCAAGTCAGCCTCCCCTCTGGCCGCCCAATCATCAGGCCAGGGGGAGCCCAGAGGCAGGGAATTATCTGTTGTATTTTAAGTACGCACCCCAGCCCAGGTACAGCCCCTCTTTTAACTTGGGCCTCAGTCTCCCCCATCTCTAAGCACACATCCAACACTGGTATGTTTCTAACATAACTGGGGGAAGTTGTGAAGGGGAGGGGCGGTTGGTTCACAGCTGTGAGCTCACCACCCCAAAAGGTGGATGTTTGCAGTTTGGCCCAAGTGAGTGGCGAGGGGGACCAAGAGGGAAAAGCTAACACTTAAGAACTTAAAACATGCTATGCTCCATGCTGGGTCCTTTGTGGAACTCAAAACCCAGATCCACCCAGCCGGCTGAAACACCTTTTGAGTGCATTGATCTTTCAGACCCAGAGGGACTCCCACCAGAGACGCAGAGCCACTTGCTTCTCCCATTGGCCCCAGGCCAGAGTCAATCTCTGACCCCCTGACTCAGCAGAGGGCAAAACCTGGGTGAGCCTGAGGGATGGCGGCTTGCCTCACCGTCCCAAGAGCCAGACTGCCAGCACTTCCTGCTTAAGCCAAGGGATCCCAGCCCGAGCCAGGGGTCTCCTCTCCCTAGAGTGGGACAAGGCTCAGGTCTAGGAAATGCTGGGGGGTGGCGCCGACTGGGGCTGCTCAGGTTCTTCGCTGCCCCAGCACCAGCGCCTAGGGGCTCACTCTTCCCCCCTCCCAACAGCCGCGGACCCCCAGCAGAGCCACCCTAACCGCACCCTGGGCGCCGCCCGGCGCGCAACCCAGGTGCCCCGCACCTTACCTCGGCCTTTACCCTTGGCCCTCTTGGCCTTGTCGTCCGCTTTCTTGGCCCGGAGGGCGGCAGGTTCGGCGCCCTCCGCCCCCGCCGCCTTCTTCTTGCGCCGCTTGCCCCGCAGCCAGTTGAAGGCGCGGCGAAGGCCAGACG